CTGATTAAACGCCATTCAAGAGGCATAACAGCAACATAAAACTTTGCTGCTGCTGCTGCTGCTGCTGCTGCTGCTGTTGCTGCTGCTGCAATAGCTTGTTGCTGCTGCAGCCACTGCAACGCCAGCTGCTGCAGCAGCTGCTGCTGCTACGCCTCCTGCTGCAGCATCTGCTGCTGCAGATGCTGCTGGTGCACCTGTTCTGCTCCAGCAGCAGCTGCAGCTGCTGCTGCAGCTGCTGCTGCATCTGCTGCTGCATCTGCTGCTGCATCTGCTGCTGCTGCTGCTGCAGCTTCATTTGTTTGTAGATTTGTTTTGTGCTGCTGCTGCCATTGCTGCAGGAGCAGCAGGTGCTGCTGCTCCTGCAGCAGAAGCAGCAGCAGGTGCTGCTGCTCGCTTAGAAGTAGCCGTACCTTCGCGCGCTGCTGTAGCAGACGTCCCCTGCAGCAGCAGCAGCAGCAGGAGCAGCAGCAGCAGCAGCTGCAGCAGCAGCAGAAGCAGGGAGAGGCGGGAGAGCCAGCGACTTGTCTCGGAAGCTGCAGAGGCTCCCGCTTCGCCAGACCCGGACCCCAGAGGATCTTGCTGCTGCTGCTGCTGCTGCTGCTGCTGCTGCTGGGTTGCTGCTGCTGCTGCTGCTGCTGCAGAAGGGGAGAGGGTTCAGCAGCTGTCTCGGCATCAGCGGGCTAAAACTTCTTGCTGCTGCACCATGTTGTGCTGCTGCTGCTGCTGCTGCTGCTGCTGCTGCTGCTGCTGTTTCTTCTTCTCTCTCAGGCACCGCTGGAGATGTAAACGATGCACTGCGTCTATGAGCAGTACCCCACGAGCGCAGCAGCAGCATCTGCTGCTGCTGCTGCTGCTGCTGCTGCTGGTAGTCTGCTGAGGGGTAGCGGAATGGGGGGCCCCCCCCATAGGCCCTCGCGGGTGCGCTGGGCATTAGGGTACTGTCTGGGGGCCCCCCTGTGAACCTTGTTGCTGCAGCAAACGCTTCAAATGGTATTTTGCTGCTGCTGCAGTTGTTGCTGCTGCTGCTGCTGCTGCTGCTGCTGCTGACGGGCGAGGGCCTCAGCTGT